ACCCAGGTTTGGTTCCCAGCACCCATATGGCAGTTAACAACATCTGTAACTCCAATTCCAGGGGATCTGACCTCTGAGGGTATTGAAAAACATGGATGTATTTGCATACATGCAGGTAATACACTCATACACATGAGATAAAAATAATAAAATATTTTTAAAATATTTGGGAGGAAGAAGAGATGGTTTAGCAATTAAGAGCACTGGCTGCTCTTGTAGAGGACCCTAGCACCCACATGGTGGTTAATAATCTCCTAAAACACCAGTTCCAGAGAATTTAACATCTTCCTCTGGCCTCTGCAGGTACCACATGACACAAGTGCACTTACAGACATTCAGGTGAAACACTCATACACATAAAATAAAAATAAATAATTTAACCAGGCATGGCGGCACGTGCCTTTAATTCCAGCACTCAGGAGGCAGAGGCAGGCAGATCTCTGTGAGACGGAAGCCAGCCTGATTTATATAACAAGTTCTAGGCCACCTGGGGATACAGGGACATGTGACTTCAACAAACCAAAAAAAGTTTACTTATTATTTTCTTAAAATTTTTATGTGTATCATGTATATAACTGTATTAATTCAACTGTGAACCTAAAAATTTATAGCCACTTTTGAAAGAGATGCATCTTAGCTCTGGAACTTGTTATTGAATATGTCAGTGCTGTTGTAATGAAATGATTCCTCTAAGTATGTTTTTATTAAATAAATGATTAAAGAAAGAAGTATACAAAGCAGCATAGATTCAGAATATTTCCAAGCCCTGGTCAAATCTCAGAGAAGGAACATAAAGTGTTGGTCTTCAGCAAGGAAACGGAAGACAGATGTTTATGTGACTTAGCCATGGGTTCCTTTGATGGCTGATAATTGTCAACTTGACAGGATCTAGAATCAGTAGAAGATCAGCTCTGGGCATGTCTGTGAGGAAGTTTCTAGGCTGAGCTACTTGATATGTGAAGATTCGCCCTAAATGTGGGCAGCAGCATTGTATGTCCTGAGGTCCTAGACTGACTAAAAGTGTGAAATGAGCTGAGAACCAGACTTCATACTGCTCTGCTTCCTGATGTTGGATGCAATGTGACCATCTTGTTCACACTTCTGCTACTATGACATTCCACCATGATGGGCTGTACCCTCACACTGTGATCCAAAATAAACTCTTCCTTCCTTACGTTGCATTCGTCAGGTATTTTGTCACAGAAATGAGGAAATTAACCTAGCTTGGACTCACATGCCAGTTTTTGTGGTCACAATATTGGGATTTATTATTTATTTGCATTTAACACTTATTTTATGCAGCACTGTGTTTTTCTAAAAATCAAGATGGTGTCAGTGGTCCTTTTGTGCACCTTGTTTCTTTGCGGCTGTGTTCCAGGCTCAAGACTCAGGCAACTGTGCCTTCCTGCCTGAGCCTGCTCAGGACTTGGAGCTACTGTGCTATGGTTTGGACGCTAAATGTCCTAAAAGACTTAGGTATTAAGGGCTTGGTGCCTAGGGTAGCTACTGGGAGTGGGTGAAACCCTTGAAAGTGGGGCATAGTGAGGAGACTTTAGTGAATAGGGGACATACTCCTGTGGGGATTATGATATTCTGGCCTCTTCTTCCTCTATTTTGCTTCCTGGCCATGAGGTTAGAGACTTTGCTCCACCATGCATTTCTGACAAGATATGCCCTCTTGTTATAAACAAAGAGGCCAAATGAAAATGTACTCAGACTGCATAACTGAGAGCCAAAATAAAACTTTTCTCTTTATAATTATCACAGCTATTTTGCTATAGTCATGACAAGCTGAGTACTACATGGTTCAATTATACAGCAAAGTGATAGCTCAAAGAGAATTTACACAATTTCTTTGGAGGTGACAGGAACAGACATGGTATCTAGGTAACAGGAGGTGGTCAGGCCTGTGCACCCTGTCTTTTAGAACCTCCCTCTTCTAAACCACTGGCTTTCTTACAATTTTTAAGGTAAGTCCAGTCCTCTGGGCCATCTGGAAGATAAGGACTTAAAATAGAATTCTCTGTTAGCCTCCCATACCCCAACAGCAGTAAAGGAATATATGATTATCAACTTCATTAGTATTCTGAGAAACAGCACAGCAGTAAGGTACTGTGGAAGCTAGAAACAGAAGGATTGGATGGAATTATTGTTAAAGGAATACACGGTTTCTGTGCAGCATTCTTTGGGTTTATTGAGACTGAATGATTAAGATTTCAAATAAATATCAATAATAAAACAACATCATAACAAGCATTAGTACTTAAAAATTATGTGAGATGGCTGGGTGTGGTGGCACATGCCTTTAATCCCAGCACTTGGGAGGCAGAGGCAGGTGGATCTCTGTGAGTTCAAGGCCAGCCTGGTCTACATAGTGAGTTCCAGGACAGCTGGGGCTACAGGGAGACCCTGTCTCAAAAAGACCAAAAAAAAAAAAAAAAAAAAAAAAAAAAAAAAAGAAAGAAAATGTGAGACGCCGAAACACCTAAATGAGTTTTATGATTACCAAGATCCTGTGAGAGGACAGATGGGAGGTGGATATATTAGGTTCCCACAGACCCATACCTCTAAACCTCTCACTCTTCAATTAATTTTGCTTTTATTTTCTTCTTAAAACAACAGCCTTCCCACATTGTGCTGGTGCCCCTGGTTGGTCTGCCTTCAGAGACATGTTCTGCTTCTATGAAGCTATGTGGCAGAAATGAATGGATTGACATTTTAAAGTTTGTTATCCTCAAAATAAAAGCTCACATAACAACATGGCAAATAAACCTGTGAGTGGAGAGGGAGCTCCTGCAGGTCTAGTAAAGATAAAGTCTTGGTGTCCTTTCCAAAGCCTTGGGAGAGATCCCAAATATGTCCACATGTTATATGCATTACAAAATTTGTGAAAGTAAAACAATTTAAGTTCAATTTTATTCTATGTTACTCATATCTGGTGACTTGGAGAATTTGGGGGGATTTCTCTTGTATTAGTAGATTTTGCATTGCTGTGACTGTAATAGCTAAAGGGAAGGAAGATTTATTTTAGCTCATGGTTTCAGAGGGCTTCAGTCCATCATAGGAGGGAAGGCATGGCACAGTCTGCAGCAGTGGAAGCATGTGGTGGAGCCATTCACATGGCGGTAGACCAAGCAACAGAGAGGGCACTAGATGGAAGGGCTGAACTAGCACATTTACCCTCTACTGACCTACTTCTCCCAAATAGTGCCACCAACTGTGGAATACATGTTGAAAGAAATCATCTTGACTACTGTGTTAGGCAGTGTTCAATAACACATAACAAATACTTGAGATAATCAACTTTAAATAAGAAATAGTCCATGAGTCCATGGTGGACATTCTATACTTGGACTATAACATCCCATTAACTAACCTCAGCTCAGGGAACTGGAGAGCCACATAGGTTGTGTTTATGTAGTGTCAGCATTTTATCACTGTGACAAGACACCTGAGATGATAAAGTTAAAAAGGAGGAAAAGTTGATTTTAGCTCACAGTTTCAGAGGTGTCAGTGCATGGTCATTTGACACTGTAGCTTTGAACCTGAGGTGGCACAGTACATCAAGGAGGTGGAAACATGGAGCAGAGGGTCTGTTCATCTCATGACAGCAGGGAAGAAGAGAAGGGGAGAGAAGAACGAGAGACAGAGACACATAGAGACAGAGACAGAGAGACAGAGACACATAGAGAGAGCTGTGGTTCTACAATCCCTTTTGAGTACATGTCCCCAGTGTCCTGATTTCCTTCTACTAGGCCCTATTTATGAACAGTTCTATCACCTCCTAACAACTTACAAATTGGGACAAAGCCTTTAATACAGAGGCTCTTAGCAGACAGTCTTGATCCGAACTTGGCAGTTAAAGTTGGTGTTTGTGACTTACGGTCGTTTCTGTGCTCAGCAGGTTGTTGCTAGCTCTTGCCTACCAGCATCATTCTTTCATATCACAGTATGAAAGTATGTGGGTCTTGGAGCAGAAATGACATGTGGGATTCATGGAACTGGAAGCTAGTTGGTGCCATTGGCTTCCAGTCATCAGATGCACATGGTGAGCAGGAGATTTTGTTTGTATATATTCAGTGAAAAAGCATGAACAGTCAACCCTTGATATCTGTGGATTCTGCACCTGCAGATTCAATCCACTGCAGATTCAACCAGCTGCAGATCACATACTATATAGTTAGGCTTATGAAGGTTGTGTCCATAGTGGGCACATGCAGACTTTTATTTTGTAATTATTCCTTACATAATATGTTTCTACAGTGATTTAGACAGAATTTACATTGCTATTAAGGATTACAAGTAAGCTTGAGATGATTTAGGGTACATAGGAGGATGTGTGTAAGTCATATGCAAAGACCACGTCATTTTATATGAGGGACCTAACATCCAAGGGGTTTGGTATCTACAAGGGATCCCAGAGCCAGGGTCTTCAAATACTGAGGGATAACTGATCAATTGTGCCCATGTTATCCTTTGAACATTGTCTTTATTGAGACAAAGATTTGGGTGCAGGTAATTTATTTGGGAAGAGATCTCAGGAATCAGGAGAGGGAGACAAGGAGAGGTAGCATTCCTATAGGGATGTACTAAGGAGGTCTTTACTGCAAGTGAAGGGAGATGCTGCTGCTGGCCTCCTGCAAAGTATACAGAATGCTCCTACTGATAGAGAAAGCCAGGACATTCGTCCACTGGTCCTTACTTCCTCCAGTGGGGTTAATTATCTCATACCTCTGGGCTGTGCCAAGCAAGCTCTTTGAAACAGAATGTGGAAAAATGTACTGACTGAATGTGGGGATATTGGCAGCACAGGTGGGCCTGGGCAAACAAAGAGTCAGCACTGAATTTGTATAAGAAGTTGTTTGATAACCTGATCAGAGTTCTTGTGCATATGTGGATATCACCCTGTCTTTTCTCTACATCTTTGTTCCAGGACCCTAAGTAGATGAGAGGATGCTCAAGTTCCTTGTATAAAATGATACAATGGGGCTGGAGAGATGACTCAGAGGTTGAGCACTGATTGCTCTTGTAGAGGACCCGGGTTCAATTCCCAGAAGCACTGGTGCCATATTGCTATTCAGGTCTGTTCTTGGTTGAGAGGAAAATATTCTGCAAAGATGCTGCTAAAGAAGGCTTTGGGCCTGTGGCACAGCAGCCCCATTCGGGTGGACAAGAGAGTTTCTCCACGTTCCTGTCTCCCTGTGCTCCTCAGTGGTGCGCATTCTGGAGACACTCAGTGTCCTCCTTGGTCTCCAAACACCTGCTCAATCTGGGAATTGAATGGATTTTCCTTTCCCAGGACTTGAGGCCATTGAAACTGTATCTTCTTCCAGAAAAGATCTGCCAACAACAGTGAGGCCACCTGTAAGAGAAGCGGGAAGGAGAAAGAGATAATCAACAGTAAAGAACTGGTCATCAGGCTTGAGGTGCAGAGCAGTTGGAAGAGTGCTTGCCTGGCATGTGGGAAGTCCTGGTTTTATTCCCATCACCACATAAACCTGGGATTATGGCATATACTTAATCCCAGCTCTCAGGAGGATCACAAGTTCAAAGCCATCCTGAGGCAACATAGTGAGTTTGAGGCAAGCCTGGGATCCATGAGATCTTGTCCACAAAAACAAAGCAAAACAACAGAACTGACCAGCAAGATTTGGTACATTTGTTCTTAAACTTTACTGTGATAATTATTAGGGAGAAGCAATTTAAAGGAGGAAGAATTTCTTTTGGCTCATGGTTTTAGCTATGCCAGCATTGTCAATTGGCTCCATCATCTTTGTGGCTGGGCAGAAACATTGTGGAGGAAGGGCATGGTGGGGAAAAGATGCTCACCTCATGGCAGGCAGCAAGTAAAGGGGAGACAGCAAGGCGCCAGTGACAAGATATGCCTTAAAAACTCACTTTCAGGGACCACCTTGCTCTAAACAGTTTTCATCCCCTAAAGTTTATACCTCTTCCCCAAATAGACTCATCAGCTGGAAACCAAGCATTCCATTCGAGTCTGTGGGGACATTCTACATTTGAAGCCTAATACTTTCTGTGGGGAGTCTGGAGGGTCGTTGCCACAGTCCTACTTCCATCTTTGTGTAATCTTTCCTGTCCCTTGAGGTGTATAGGACCTCCCACTTTGTCCTAAGTGATAGAATAAGATGATGATGGACAGGTGTCACTTCAGTGATTATGTCTCTTTATACAGGACATGGTCTTACTGGAAGATATGCTCTGGGATTTTTCTGGGCTGATTAAGAAGCAGTGAGCTGAGGCTAGTCTTCAGCTAGGGTCCAGCAAGAAGCTGGGTCCTTAGTCCAACACTGAATCTGTCAATCCAAGTGGGTGTGATGCAGTTTTCTTCCAGTTTTGTCTTTGCATAGCCCAAATAACACACCTTAATTTTAGTTTTATGACATCCCAAGGAGAGGATCCAGTCAGGTTATGATTCACAAAAACTAGGAAGTAACAAATATGTATCATTTTTAAGTTTCTAGATTTGCCATGATTTGTTACTTGATAATAGATAACAAATTTACTTTCTCAGAAATCCACCCACAGCACTTCCCTATGGACAAACATTTCCTTCTATAGGCCTAAGGCTTAGTTGTTGATGAACAGATGATGAAGCCTTCCCTGGAGGAACTCCTGATTTAGTAGGGGAGCCAAACATGCAGGCTGACCACACACAGGGAGGGCTGTGAGGAAGAGTCACATACCCTGAGAAGATGAGCTGCCAGCTCTGCCTGGGGGGGGTGGGGGGTGGGGGGGAGGACAGATCCTTTGGGAGAAGGTGATGAGTTTTCAAGGACAGGTCCTGGATGCTTCTTGTAGAAGCTGTGAACAGGGTAGAGGTCACAGTACATACAGGGGACATACAGCACGTGGGAAAAGAATGGAGTGATCAGGGTGCTACAGGCACCCAGAAGATGAAGGCAGACAGGTAGACTCCTAGGGCTGGGATTCTGAAGGAGACAGTGAATGTGAACTGCCTGGCTGGAGTGAGGGATGGCCTGCTTCAGGCACAGCAGGCTGAGTGTTGGCTCTCCTACCAAAGCTGGCTCTCGGCTTCCATTACAGCATGCCAGGCTTCCTTTGTCCTTGTTTGGCAGTGTGCTTTAGTCATGGTTGTCCATATGCCACTTATTAGATATGCCTTGGATGAAGAGGCTTTTCTCTTCACATAATACCCACATTTAGCAAATGCGGCCTGGCAAGGTCTTAGGGCCTCAAATGATTACATATCAACAGTGGTTTTAATGCTGAACAATAAGAGAAATGAGACTGCTGTGACCTCAGAGGGGAACACACTGTGGGTGGGAGGGACACTGTCCCTGAGGCAGGCCATATTCTAGTTGGCAGTGCTGTGAGCTCTCTTGCACTCTGTGGGACCATTTGTGCAATGATGGAGCTAAGAATCAAAAACCCTTTCTGAGTCTAAATGGTATGTAATATTTTAGTAATTGCTAGAAAATACTAGAACTGATTGCATTAAATGACTCCAGAATTTTAATGTGTTCTAGAGTCTTCTGAAGTGGACCTACATACAATTCCAGTCAATCAAACTTTTGTTTTCAGAATGGGGGATCAAACCCAGGGCTTTGTGCATGCTAGACTAGTGTGGTACCACTGTGCCACATCCCCAGCCATTCATCAATTAAATATGCAATTATTTTGTTTCTTATTGTTAAGTAAGCACATAAAAATAAGTCTATGAGGGGATGGAGAGATGGCTCAGTGATTAAGAGCACTGGCTGATCTTGCAGAGGACCCCGGTTTGGTTGCCAGGACCTGGGTTTGCTTCCCATCACCCACATGGTAGTTAACACCTGTCTGTAACTCCAGTTCCAGGGGATCTAGTGCCCTCTTCTGACCTACATGGGCATTACATGACACAGGCACACTTACATACATGCAGGCATTACACTCATACACATAAAAGTAGTAAATAGTCTCTGACATTTTCATATATGCGTATCACTGTGCTTTCCTCATGTTTACCATCACCCTTCCTTGCTCTCTGTCTTCCTCCTGGTCTTTTCCTCCCCTAAATAGATCCCCTTCTGCCTTCAGCATACATTCACACAGACACAGACACACACAGAGACATGCACACACATATACATATGGACACAGACACACACATATATACACACATACAGACACAGACACTCAGATACATACACATAGGCACAGACACACATATACACACAGACACATATGTACATACAGGCATAGACACAGACACATGGACACACACATACACCCATAGACACAGACAGGCATTCGCACATAGACATAGACAAATATGCACACAGACAGAGACATACAGGTATATACACACACAGGCACAGACACACAGATATATACATATACACACAGACACATATGTACATACAGACATAGACACAGACACATACACCCATAGACACAGACACTCACACATAGATAAAGACATAGACAAATATGCACACAGACACAGACACAGACAGACAGACACACCATACCGCACTTAAATCTAGGTTCAGCATGTGAAAAAGATCATATAATGTTTGTCTTTCTTTTCCCCCTCTTCTTCCTAGTAGCCGTCTTTCTCTCCCATGTTGTCCTCTTTCTACTGTCATCATATATATGCATCTATATCATCTAGGTTCTGTATATGACTCAAAATGCATGACGCATCTCTTTGAGTCTGGCTTACTTCCCTTAACATTATGATCTCCCACCCACTTTTCTGCAAATGACATGATTTGCTTCTTCACAGATGAACAAAACTCCTTTGTGTATACATACCACATTTTCTTTATCTGTTCACCTGTTGATGGACATCTACGTTGCCTCCATATCCTGGTTATTGTGAGGACTGCTACAATAAACAAAGGTGTGCAGATATCTCTGTGGTAATGCTGACTTCGAATCCTTCTGATACACACCAGGAATTAGTATAGCTGGATCATACTACAGTTCTATTTTTAGTTTTATAAGGAACTTCCATATTGATTTCCATAGTGGCTGCCCTCGTCTCATTCCCATAAATATACAATCTTGATCATATCCATGCTGCACAAAACACATACACACACACAGACACACACACCATATTGTACTGACAACACACCATGTACACACAGTATACACCATATATTCATGCCACACACCCATCTGATACACTACATACATTCGTTTTTTGTACTTAAAAAGCAGGAGTAGTCTAAGGCTGACCACCAGGCTGGATGGGACTGTCTCTCACATCACGCACCAAGTGTCTTTGAAGTCAGAGGTATGGTCTTGTGGATACAATTCCTGCCATTTCTCAACAAAGGAGGTGCCTCTAGGCTTATGGAAAATTACTGACTTAAAAAAAACTTCCAACTTGATACATTTAAACAGTCTTTTTAACAATTATGTGGTAACAAGGTATTCCCGGAAATTTGTTTCCCTATCCATGGTAATAAGGAAAGAGACAGGGGTGAAGGTAAGAAGAGAAAATGAACCTGAAAGCTCAGATCGAGCATGTGGTGACTGGTTTGAAAGCAATTAATTGTCTGTCACTCTGACAGAGATTAAGGTATTTATAAATTTGTGCTGCTAAAATACTTAGTCTGCAACGAGACTGGCAAATTATTACTACACTAGAGACTTGTGATGAAATATCTACCATATAATCATTTACTCATTCATTTTAACTCTTTACTGAACATCCTCTGAAGGTTTCTCTTAGGACCAATTGTTTGTTTATACTCCTATGATGCACCACACAGGAAGACAAATAGTTGCTGGGTTTCACTCCCTTTATCCCAAGCCAGCTGTTTCTTTTAAAAAATTGTTTTGGATTTATTTATTTTTATTCTATGTGTATGAGTGTTTTGCCTGCATGTAAGTGCACCCAGGTTGTGAAATGCCCATGGAGGCCAGAAGAGGGTGTCAGATTCCCTGGAACTGGAGTTACAGACAATTGTGCGCTGCCATATGGATGCTGGAAAATGAACCTGGGTCCTCTGCAAAAGAAGCCAGTGCTCTTAACCACTGAGCCATCTCTCTAGCCCAAGTCAGTTGTTTCTTGAACATAAAATATTACACCAGTATCTATTTGTTCTAGGACAGAAAATTTAGCAAAAAAAAAAAAAAGAATAAAAATTATCTATAATTAGAACGGACATATCTTTTCTC